TTGCCCATCTCCGGGGTGCGGCGACGTGCCCTGTAGGCTGTGACGCGGGCCGGTCGCATCTCGCTGTTTTTTCCTGAGCCCACGCCGTGTGCCAGCCTGGGCTCCAGGGGATCTGAGCCGGGCGACTCCAGCTGACCAGGACAGCAGCCAGGGCCAGATGTCAGAGCTGGGTTTCCGCGGCAGGGAGGGTCGAAACGGGGGGCTTCTCCACCCTCGGCCGAGAAGGTGCCAGACAGGCTGGGCCACGGGCTTCTGCATCAGGGGCGCGTGAGGAGGACAGGGACGGCAGCAGTTACGAGGGTCAGTGTGGGTGGAAAAGGGGACCAGCCCGCCACCCCGCTCTCTCAGCTGCAGGGTGGATTAGCCAAGTGCTGCCTCCTCGCGGCTGCAAACCCCTGGGAAGCCCGGGACCCGGAGGGCACCTGCCTCGGGGACGCAGGCGGGTTGTTTTGGCCACTGTGCTTGTCGATGGAGCCACACTCACAAGGGCCGTGTTTCTCACACACGTCCCCAGGTTGGCCCCGCAGCCTGTCCCGGGTCTCTGTACCCCCGGGTGAGCCTCTGATGGAGACACGGGCCTCCTTGTGCTCTCTCAAGGGGGGGTTCCCCCGGCGATTCTACCCCCAGGAGACACATGGATGTCTGTGGTTGTCATGACTGGAGGGCTCCTGACCTCGAGGGGGCGGGGCCGGGGAGCTGCTGAGGCCCCGCAGAGGATATCCTGCCCCCGTGTGCCCGCGACAGGAGAGACCTCTCTGGACAGGCGCGTTGGCTGTACACGTGCCGTCTGCTGCGCCTGTGGCTCTGCCCCCCCCCCCCCCCCCCCCCCCCCCCCCCCCCCCCCCCCCCACTAACCTGCACTCCCTGCCCCGCGCCTGCAGGGACGCCCGTGAACCGCATCCCCATCATGGCCAAGCAGGTGCTTGACCTGTTCATGCTGTACGTGCTGGTGACGGAGAAGGGCGGCCTGGTGGAGGTCATCAACAAGAAGCTGTGGAGGGAGATCACCAAAGGCCTCAACCTGCCCACGTCCATCACCAGCGCTGCCTTCACCCTGCGGACCCAGTGAGTGCCCGCCGGCGCCCCGCATAGGGGAGGCGGGAGGGGCCGGGGCGGCCGCGGAGAGCCAGTCCTGACGTCAGGGTGCGGGTTGAGGACGGTCCGCCTCGAGCTCACTCGGCTGGGTGGCGGGATTGGCGAGGGCGGTCCTGGGGGGGCCCCGGCGCCATCCTGTCCCTGCCCCTGCCCCTGCCACAGGTACATGAAGTACTTGTATCCCTACGAGTGTGAGAAGCGCGGCCTCAGCAACCCCAACGAGCTGCAGGCGGCCATCGACAGCAACCGGCGGGAGGGCCGGCGCCAGAGTTTCGGGGGCTCCCTGTTCGCCTACTCGCCGGGCGGGGCCCACGGCATGCTGTCCTCGCCCAAGCTGCCCGTGCCCTCCCTGGGCCTGGCCGCCAGCACCAACGGCAGCTCCATCACCCCGGCCCCCAAGATCAAGAAAGGTAAGGGCCGCGCGTCCCTGGGGCCCGGACCCCATTCTGCTCCGGGCCCCGGGCTTTCTGACCCCCCTCTGGGTACTGCGCCCCCCAGTGGGCGTGACTAAGCCGGGCCCTTCTCCCAACCCCAGAGCAAGCAGACATCACTAATCGTTCAGGATCAGGCACAGTTTCCCAGCCTGTGCCCGCGGCAGACATTACTAATCGAGCACCGCTTCCCCAGTCCGAGCTGCTGCACCCGTTTCTGACTGGGCGCCCGGTTCCTTCCCAATCCCTTGGCCGGTGTTACTAGCAAATTACTGTAGCGTCGCCCGAGTTCTGCCTGTGGGCGGCAGTATTGACGGCTGGAGTTTTTCTGGTCCCTTGCCCACGGCAGACCTTACGAGCTGATTGCTGAATTCTTTTCCCTTTGAGCTTCAGGACCTTCTCAACACTGTCCAGCAGGGATGGTCACGGGTGTGGTGTGGGCCCCCCCCACTGGCCCTTCACCTTCCCCGAATCTAGTGCTGGGTGTGTCTGGGCAGCTCACCGGCCCCTCCTGGGCCCCGGCTTTCCTGCTGGGGAAACGGGAAAGCGATCCCTTCTTTGTGGGTTTGTGGAAGGAGAGCCTTTGGTGTGTCCGGCCCCCAGCAGGCAGCGGGCCCAGTTTTCGAATGCCTGGCAGGGAGCCCCCCATTCGTGGCAGGCACCACCAGCCGATCACAGCCTTCTCACCCAGCGAGCCTCTGAATCCTTCCTAGCACAGAAACACCAACGGCACACGTGGCGGTGTGGCCTCAAGCAGGCGAAGCCCCCTGCGTGTCTCTCACCTGCCACCTGGGCTGGGACTCCCTGCCTCCTGGGGTGGCCGGGGGATCCAGCGTGATCCCCACGACTTAGGCCTGGTCAGATCCTAGGCGAATGGGGTCCCACTAGCGTCACTCAGCCCTCTGTGGACCTCAGTTTACCTACCCCCACCCCTGGGGAGCTCCGGTGATGCCCACGAGTCAGTATAAACGTCCGCCGGGCGTGAGGCCTCATGCGGGAGCTGGGGAGGTGCTGGCCGGCAGGGAGGAGGGTTTTCTGATGGCTGAGGTGGTGTTGGAGTGAGCCCAGAAGACGGGGACAAAGGAGAGAGTGCCAAAGACCC